GGGGTTTACCGAGGGGATGTCTAACCTGTCGTGAAGAGACTAGTCTTTAAGGGACGCATATCATGAGTGTGCAAATTGTGGTGGATAGAATACCTGGTCATTTGAAGTGGTATTGAAAATGTAAGACACAGCTTAATAGGATAACAGATGTACTTGCCAGGAGTGAAGGGGGTCGTCATAATCCTTAACGGAAAATTATTTAAAGTGATTGATTATTTGTCATTTTTATGGATTATTACTCGTTGCTAATAACGGCGCTAATCACTGTTGCTGTCGGCTAACATTCTGGGACTACACACAGTAAACAGTTCGATACTGATATAACATTCTTCATAGTATTTCTGAAGGCACTATAAATTGCTAAAGAGAGATCAAACCAACTTTAATCTTTACTTGATTGATTGTCAGTATTTAAGAAGTTTACTGGACTATGTTGTTATTTTCATCTACCTGAAATTAATTGGTGGTTACACTTATTTGATTTTTTTATACTATTTACTTTTCAGTTCTTCTGATGCCATGGAGCAGACCACAAATTTAGCTCTTACCGTACAATCTGCCATTGAATCCATTCGTGCCGAGCTCAAAGCCGATAAGCGCCGCAAACGACGACGTCGTGAACATCAAATGAGCAATCAATCTTGTTCTTTAAAAACTTCTCACAGGCAATTATCATCATATCCTCCCTCTCCACTCACAGACACCGTAGAACTTGGCAGTTATCCACCCGAAATCACATCAAAAGAGTCAAACTCAGATTCGACTTCAGGCACCGATTCACCTGACCTTGAATTGGCCTCCTGCGATGAATCCACCCAAAAGGTATCTCAGACAACTTCTCAAGGAAACGGCAGTGATTCCAGTCACCCAAGTGAAAACACGAACCTTCTTCATAAAGCATCCTCTCTCAAAACTGATTCCGATTCAATACCGGTGGACTCTGGCAGTGAAAATTCTTTTAGTTCTGTAGACTGTCCTTCTAATAATTATCTTGATCTTTCCACTAAGGAGCCTACCTATTCGGCAACACTTATTTCACCTGCAGTAGATAAATATAAGCAATCAGTTATTTCGCCAGTAAATTTACCCTGCCCTCATTTGGTATCAGAGGAATTGACAGATGAGCCAATTACTTCAAACCGTAATGAATTTCAGGCTATCAAATGCCATCTGGATAGTGAGCAAATCCCGCAAGCTTGTGAAGATACCATGCTAGATATTACTAGACAGAAAGTGGACGATATGGTTCCATCGTTCGAGCTTACAGAAGACCTGGTACTGGATGCAGATGACTTCATGGACGAATGTGTAGTTTCTAATTCTAATGCCTATCAAGGCGATGAGGAGAATGAGGAAGAGGAAGAGGATGATGCTACAGACACTGAGGGAGAATGCATCGAACAATCCGCATCTCAGAGCAACCGAGTAACTACCAAGCGGATCTTTCTGGGAATAGAATCTCAGTCCGAAATTGGACCTTCTACGACTGCCAGTGGTTCTGGCAGTGTTTTGTCGAGATCTAGGAAGATAACTGGGAAGTGGTCGGCCGATCCGGGAGAAGTTGGGTCCAGAGACTACAGGCGAAATGGTTATCGACATAGCCGGCTAGAATTAAAGGCTGATAGTATCGAATCTCTTTCTTCCCATCAAGGGTGTAGATCTTGGTCTCCCAATCACAATAATGATCAAGACGGAAGCAATATAGGCGGAAAGTTGGCAGAGGAAGATTTAGATGATGATGAAGTCAGAGCTCAGATAGCCGCTTTTCTGCCTCCCCCCAAAAGTCTGATCCTTGCTGATAATCCTTTACTTCACATGCCTCCAGGAGTGAGTTTTTAGCCGGCCTGAGCCATGGCTGCTTTTTCCTAACTTGTTACTAACGTTTAGCTATTTTAATATTGAAGGCCTCATCAAAGATTGTTCTTTTTTATTTTCAAGGATGACTTTTAGGGGATTAACCTATATTTTATCCTTTTTTGGTAATGCTTGGTTTGAGGGCATCTCGCCGAAGTTTAGTAAACTATGACTGATGGTGATTTGATTTGTTGACTAACAGAATGACAATACTTTAATGTGCCATGGGGACAAAAACGTTCCATATTAAATACGGACATAGGGGATTGCATATTTACTATTATTTGACTTATTCAGTCCTTTTGTGTTACTTAGATCATTACCTTTGAATCTTAAAAAAAATGTATAGGAATGAAGTTCTTATTTATGAGCTTCTAGCCGAGATCAATAATATTTTTGTAAAGGATTCATATTAGATTGTATTAGTATTAAGCGTAAAGGCCAAGATTATAGGTCCTTTAGTATGATCACGATCTCCTTACATTGTATGGATGTGGTTTGACCTTATTTTCACAACTTGGTTGCACTTTTAGGGCGGTCTAGATGAACGCATCTTTTCTCGAGTCCATAGTATCCATGACAATTTCCAGCGTCGGACTGTGGACTTGGTACATTCCCGGGCCACACCATCTTGGTATTCACACCTTCGACTAAACTGCGTAAGAAAGATTGCCAAAAATGTAATTATTAAAGCTGGATAAAGAAGACAATTTGTGCTGCTAAGACGGGCAAGACTCACTTACAATATTGGACAAACGTCTGGAAATGTGCCAGGTCCGCGGTAGTACGCTAGAAATTATCATGGATACTATGGACTCCTAACAATGTGTTTTCCTTTAGGTCTTCCTGACAATACGCCCAAGTTGATTAAGCTAGGTCATACCAGTTCTAGATTTTTTATACCACA